TAACAGCAAAAGCCAGGTGAGAAGAAATAAACTCAAATAGCAGGATATTTATTTATTTTATTTTGCATTTGGATTTATTTTTCTCCTAAATGAAAAAAAATCAGGCTATATAATTCCTCAGTCAATTGCCCTTTTCTTTCTGAGCTCTTCTGCATCTCTGTCTAACAATATAAATGATTATATTCCCTCTTAGGAAATTTGTAGAAAATAACAACAGATCTATTGAGGTGCCATTGATCTTTGACTCTATCACAGAAGATGATTTTCATACTGATTTCAGATGTGTGGCACAAAATGGTGGTGGGAATTGTGTACAAACAGTGACAGTCAAGGAAAAAAAGAAAGGTCTGTATAACAACTCAATTGTGTTTATTACTATCTTTTCCTCATTATTTTTTTGGATGACTTTGATATTGGCCATTCATTTTCTCATTTTGTAAATATGGAAAGAAAGTTAAGATATAAACCGGCCAAAGGTCTGGAATAACTTCTGGTCAGGTCATGTGTATATTACATGATTTCTAATAAGTTGTTTTACTTTCAAATAATTACAATTTCTCTTTGCATGTTTACAAAGAAAAAGGAGAGGAAATTATGTACATACAAAATTAACCAGTTTTGCCAAAGACTATCCCACATTTTGCTTATTACTGCTATGTAATTGGGGTTTTTTTATTCTGTCTGGAATCCATAACATGTAACTAATATGCAAAACTACTATGTATCAAACAGGTAACATGATTAGTTCCCTACTAAATGCCACATCTCTACTAGGGCCATTAAATCTCATTTGGTGAGCTTCTTAGGTGAGCTTCTTCACACCAATCACATTGATTTTTATAAGCTATACAATTAGCATCTACACTGACCCAAGTCAAGTATTTGGGATGTTCAGTTGCCTTTGCAAAGAGTCTGGAACAAGGCTGACTTTTCAAGGGTTGTGGGCAGGAAATTGATGTAAGAATCAGATTACTCTTGACTAAATTTTATTGGATTGAAATAAACATCCCACCAATATCTTTCCCAACCTGGCTTGGTGAGGTTTTCTGAAATTATTTGTTGAGTCCAATGTTTTGGGAGAACTTTAATGTTCTGTTGGACAATAGCTTGCCCTATAATCTGTACACCAAAACACTGAAGGAATTCTACTTCAGTGGGGAGTTTGTAGCAGCAAATGGAAGTACAGTATCTCTTCATTCCATGTAAAAGTGGCTTGGGAACTTCACAACCACATATGAGTTGGCAGAATGTATCCCAATGTCACCCGAAGAGTCATAGATTAGATTAATTACATTATATCAGTGCAACATGATAGCTAAAAAGATTACACACCTTCAAGAGCAAAGGACTGCATTGAAGGGGAGAAAAGCTTGCAGTTGTTAGGCTATTATTCAGTTACACATGTTGGAAGCATCTGATTTGCCCTAGTTTAAAGCTCTGCAGTGATTGTATATTCTTACAAAATTTAACCAAATTTCTTTTTATTGCCATAGATATGGCATGTTGTTGTTTTGTATTCCATCTGCTACTGATAAAACTTGTATTTGTGGGAACCAGAGAACTTAGAAAAACAATGATTTAAACAGTGCAAAGTATGATGTCTAACGTTGGGTGTTTTTTTTCTTTTTTAAAAGACCGCCAGTTGTCTTGGTACTTGGCAGTTACTCCTGTGGCCCTGGCTGTTCTCATCATAGGAGGAGTTTACTTAAATAAATACTGGAAGCAAAGATCTACCAAGGGATACATTGTGGCCAACTCCTAATGAATATACTTTTATTTCTTGTACTTTTTTATTTTAGCTTCCTAAGTTATTTTTCTCATCTGTCCTAAGATATCTAGAAACCTTTTGGTTGTAAACAGAAATGAAGCTGCTGTTTTGATGCTAGTTGAAGGAAATCTAATGCAAGTTTCTATAATAGCAAAAATATAATAATTGTAATTTTTTTAATGTTATCTCTAATTTTACCACTGAAACTTGATGCAGAAAAGTAACTTTAACTGTAATAAACATTTATCAGCTACTATCTTATTTAGGTTTTATAGCAATGGGAGTATGTGTGCATGTTTTATAAAGTATATTGAATTTTTTTTAAAAAAAAATGATTAAATGAAAAACAGAAAGATGGGAAGAGAGAGACTTTGAGAGTGATTATAAAAAAGGCAGATTTCTTTTTAAAAAATTAAAGGAAATTAATCTTCCAAAGAAAGAAAATTACATAGTGAACCTCCAGATAAGTTATAATTCTAATTTTTCACTTCTTCGGTACCAAAACCTTATTTTATGTTTATTCTTGTTAATGCATATGTTTTAAATATGTCTGATTTTCTGTAATTTTGGAAGCCAGCAAGATATTAAAGTGGAACAGGGAATATAGCAAATGTAGTTAATGGTATTAACTGTATACAAATGTATATATTTGATATTATATAATAAATTTTACTATTTTTACTATTTACTATTTATTAACTGATTAAGAGTAATTATGGCTAATATAATCTTTTATATAATCTTTTAATGTTCTACAGTATATCATCAGCATCAGAAACTTGATTTACCATAACAATTTTTTTGGCTGCATCTGATGTTGCCAAACTGGCTGATCCATATTATCTGCACAGGGAACTCACATGTCTGCTGAAAGTGTCATATAATCAAACATCCTTTATTTAAACCAAATTGTGCTGGATGAATGATTGAATACACTGTAATACTTTCTGTAATGTTTTTGCCAAAGTCTTAGCATTAACATTTAAAAGCCATATTAACAATGATGTGCTCAAAGGATCCTTACCAGCTTTCAAAATAAGTGTTATATACGTTTCATAATATTATATTAACAGAGGCTTTGTTTAGATCTCCAACCAAATAGGAGTTATTCTCTAAATATTTTATATCATGCTATTGGTATCCTCTTTGCCCAAGGCTCTTTCTAGGTTTATTGTATTTATGGAACTGTCCCATATCAGAGTTTTTAAAGTTCTAAAAGCAGCATGACTAAGATGACCTCATTTTCAAGGTTAAAAATTGGGTCATTAATTATTCAGTTTTCAAAGAGTCCAGTCAAAAATTATCTGGAAATAAAAAATGGCCACTTTTAGATTTGATTTGATTTTTGTCTGGGAGCAGAGATGACATGATCTGAGCTGGGAGACATTATCATCTGTCCCTTGTCATGGTAATATCATTCCTGATTGCATTTGAGTTGACTAGTGCCATCAATCACTTCAGNAAAGGTAGACATATGTAGTTTACCCTCCCAAAACATTATCAGAATCCTTTGGCTTCCAAAGGGCAATTGGAGAATTTCTTGTGACCATGGTGGGCAGATTCTTTAGTTTACTGCAGGAATAGGAAAGAAATAGCATTGCATATGAGTGCCCTTTCCCAGTTGTCAGTTTAGGGCAGCTTGGTTTCCTAAGGCAATTTGAGAGATGAACTGAATTAGGAAACATTTTGAGTGCTGCTAGTGGAAGACACAAAATAAAACTTATATTTCAGCCTACACCATAGTAATAATAGCATCACTATTTATTTGAGTTATTATATCTGCAGAATGCAAGTCACCAGAGCCTTCTTAAATTGACCCAGACCGTATTAGAGAAAGATAGGCCAGAAGATGTTCTGTGAAAATTGTATAGGCATCTGGAGGAAAACATTGCTAGGATCCAGAGCTAGATACCTGTTGAGCAAGTTCTGTTGAATTGACAGAAACCAAGTTATGATAATTACAAGTTATGCCTTGTTTATCTCTTGCTTGGATTTGGCAATGTATTCTCCATGAGGATGTCTTTGAAGAGCAGTCAGACAATATAACTGATCCAGAATTCAGCAACTTGAATAGTCATAGATACATCTTGATTAATCCATATAACATCACTATTTCAAGAACTGCAGTGGTTGCCATTTGGCTTTCAAGGTGCTGGTTGTCTCTTTTAAAGCCTTACACGTCAGGACCTGAGACCTCTAGACCTATCTAAAGATCCAATTTTATCTGTCCATCCACTAAGATCTGGTACAGCAGATTCTCTCCATATCCTTGCATCAAATAATAAAGATCACAGAAGTGAGCCTTCTCAATTATTGTAGAATAGTATTTTTTATAGAAATCTGTATTTCTATAATAAGTTTATAGAAAGTTTGCTGAAACCTGGCTGTTCCAGCAAACCTTGGGAGTGGGATGTTTAAATGTTTTTTCTTTTGGCATTGGAATATTTGTTTAATATACTGTATTCAATATAACCAATCTCCTGGTGTCTATTAGAGTAGATATTCTTTAGTTTTTATTATTGTATTTTTGTTCTTTTGCCATCATTTACTGCATTGTCGGTAGTTCTGATGGTTTATAAATCCACCACAAGCAAGAAACTAATTATGTTTTGGTTTTAAAAAAGAAAGTATTTTAAAACTAGTCATTTGTGTTTTCAAGCATCATTTACTGATGTCATAATGATCAAACTATGTTTCTCTAGAGAAACTGCTATATTGTTGATGATCTCTATCTGAGTTGTTTCATTTGTAAAGTATTAATGCCATGACTATGCATTTGTAGACTAAGGCATTATTAATTATAATTAATCATATAGATAAATGCTATTGTGTTTGTCATTTTTGTTTTACAATAGATGTTGACAGGCAGAGAATGAAAAACAAATGATTGTTGAATGATTTGCTTTTGGGAAGAAGTATGGAAAGGAAACAAAGTATTATTTTCCAGAAATGATTTGGCCTAGCAACCATATATACCAGTAAGCACTGTGATTACTGTTTTATCAACAATCATACTTTCAAAGCTTCCCATAGTAAAGAACTCAGTTCTTGTCAAACCAAAAATCTGCTTTTATTCATTAAATTTGGGGTATGACTATTTATGAGGCATGCATTAGTCATGTTTGGATTTTCTTTACACAGAATCTAATTATTCCAAATTCATTATCTTATTGATTACAACAATTTTGCAAAGAATATTATACAATGTACATTAAAAATTCAGTCCCTAAATTTGCAGCTATTTTTCTGCAATGTTCACACCAAAACATGTTTATCACCTGCTCATAAATCTTTACTTGTTAGATGTAAATAAATAGCCATCACAGATGAAACTCATAATTAAATGCTCTAGGATGTTGTTCAATTGTGGTTAATTCTAATAAATTAAACACATTATTGGAATGAAAAATAAAAGAACCTTTAAAGTTTATTATTGGAATGAAAAATAACATTTAAAGTTTGTTTATCCATTTTCATGGGGAGTGGGTGTCCCACATGTAATTGAAGTTAAGCCCTTGTATCAGAAAAGATTGTACATTCCTCCTCAAAAGGCTTCTTCATATATGGGCCTGTGGTACAACTACTTATGAAAGCATGGGAATTATAGAACAATAAAGTTAGAAAAGATTGTTGTAGAAGTGCTCCTTCAGAATATCAGTACATCCATACAGAATTGAGCATGCAACCTCTGTGCATTATCAAAAAATTCTGACAATTATAATCGCAATGCAAGTTCTATTAGTCCTTATATGAAGCATCAGCTATCAAAATGGTCCTGTATATAAATGATTCTTTGGTTTAATTCTGTTGGTGGTTTCTTTGGTACTTATTTGGGCTACTACTATGGTGCAAGAAGTGTGATGTAACAGAAGTGTTAATGCATCCACATAATTAGTTGATACATCTTTACCTGGTACAAAAGATATTTCACTACTGCATTATGTTATGAATGAGAAAGTATGACCTCTTTATGGCAAAAATGGCTATGGTGGTCCCACACTGGAAGTCATCCCAAAAAAACTTGGACAGCATGTAAAACTATGCATTGACAAAATTTCCATCTGTCACTTGCAAGCCATACTGCTTGGATATACACATATACCATGCTGATACATTATGATATCCTTAGTTCTTGAGAAGAACTTGATGCATATGAAGGCCAACACCAACTAAAAGAATTGCAGTTATGACTTTACATTGTTGTGAACGGATAACAACTTGGGGAGGATTCAATAGGTGGATAAAAATGCCAAACCCAGTTTAAACATGTGTCTATGTGACCAACAATAATGACTATTACTAAACAATAATAATTCCAGACTCAAATTCTACTATGGATAGAAATCCATAGTTAGGCATAACTGCTTAAGCTGTCTTTAATAATTTTTGCCTATCAAGATAAAGAGTTCAATATTTTAATATTCATATTATGGCCAGCTACTATTTTCATAACAACATCATAGAGAATAGAAATAAAATTCCTATATTCTTGAATTTTTGAAACTCTATGCTTTCTATAACTTGTAATCATGCTGTATTTTTTTTCTAATTTCCTCTTCCAATACCAGATCAAACACTTTATTGAGATATATTTTATGAATAATTGTTAGCTACACTACAATTTTGGAATGCAATTTTTCAAAAAGCACACTGTTTATCTCAGTGTCACTATAAATAAGCCAATATTTATTCTTCTTCCACTTTTTCCATGCTATAACTTCAAATATCTTTAAATTTTGCAATGATTTCTCTGTCTGGAGAGTACATCTTCATTTCCTAACATTCTAATAGTTGTTTCACAGTAAGTGATAGAGAATTAGATCACTCCCAGAATTAAGGCAGCTAGTGAATACTTTATTTTCAGGCAATACATTTCATTTTGTTGGTTTTATTTTGCCAGGCTCAAGGCCTGAGATCCTGCATGGTTAGATAAAATAGGGGAGGCACTTTTGGTTGTGTTGAAACATAAATTCTTGATTAAGCAGTTAGAAAGATGAAAATGACAGCCAATGTTTAGAAGGCAGACT